CAGTCCCTGCGCGCATGCGCTTTGCTCTGTTGCCCCCGCCATATGCTAATCACTGCGCTCAGGAGTAAGGCCCCTCCGGGGAATATGCAAATCACTCCTTCCAGTGCGGGAGGCCTTTCATTGTCCCGCACTAGGATTATGCAAATAAGCAGGCCTCGGGCCCACGATCCAGTCCGAACTAGCACCCTCCACCCGCAGCGCATCCCATATTTTATAAGGCGCGTTCCTGCCCCGCACACGCACGCGCGAACCCTTCAGCTTCTTTCTTGTTCCTTCGTGCCGCGGACTGTACCAAGTAAACCCAGGCAGTGAGGGGCAAAGCACAGCGCCCCCCGGGCGGGTCTCGTCGACGGTCCGACTCACACAGCCCCTCTTCCAACAGCGTTACAGGACTAGTCCAACTCGCCGCGCAAGCGCCCTAGGCTCTTCACGCGCTCTCCTACCCTATTTGCGGCGCAGGCGCAGAGGCTGGGCGTGCAGCCGCCGCCGCAGAGCCGGAGCGGGGGCCGCCGGCGCCGGTGAGTGTCCGGGACAGGGGTGCGCGGGGCATGCCGGGAAGCGGGCGCTACGGCCCCGCTGCATGATGGGAACCACAACTCCCGTCACCGGGGAGCCTGCGGCGGTCTGGGACCGTCGTGACCCGAGGGCAAGACCCAGGCTTCCTTTTCTCCCCCAGCGCGGCTGTGCCGCCCTGGGGCATCCTGGGAGAACCGAGCGCTCCGCCTTGAAACGCTGTGGGAGTCGGTCCGCTCGTCGCTGTAGGCCTGGTGCATCCTGGGAAGAAGTGTCCCAGATCCTTGTGGGGAACCGGTTTCTTTTATCCCACACCTGCCACTGACCGTCCTAGAGGCTTGGAGCGTTTCCACACGGGGAGTCTGGGAAGGTGGTCGCTATAGGCCCAAGGCATCTTGGGAAGAACTGCCACAGGAATTGTGGGAACTGGCCCTTATTGTCCCGTAGTGGAAGGTTTTGCCGTGGTCTCATTGCCCGAGCATTGGTACGGGTGCCTATTGTTTTTACGCGGGGCATCTTGGGAATTGGCTGCTACAGGCTCAGGGCATTGTGGATCTCCAGCACTGTTTGCCTTTCAGTTTGGCTGCCCTAGGCGTGGTAGGAGTGGGACTTATGAACCAAGTGATGGCCCTACCTGACATCTGAAATATCTGGAAGAGGTCTTGTGTGATATGGGCTTGGAAAAGTGTAGGCTGATGGACACTGACTCTTGGTAACTTCATGGGACGACTTGATTGCTGCAGGCGTATGGTTGCCATATAAAATATACAATGCCTAGTTAAATTTGAATTTCAGATAAACAATTATATCCAAAAGATACAGCCTTTTAGAAAAGTATGGGCCGGGCGCGGTGGCTCAAGCCTGTAATCCCAGCACTGTGGGAGGCCGAGGCGGGTGGATCACGAGGTCAAGAGATCGAGACCATCCTGGTCAACATGGTGAAACCCCGTCTCTACTAAAAATACAAAAAATTAACTGGGCATGGTGGCGCGTGCCTGTAATCTCAGCGACTCAGGAGGCTGGGGCAGGAGAATTGCCTGAACCCGGGAGGCAGAGGTTGCGGTGAGTCGAGATCGCGCCATTGCACTCCAGCCTGGGTAACAAGAGCGAAACCCCGTCTCAAAAAAAAAAAAAAAAAAAAAGTACGTCCCAAGTATCACATGGAACATAGTTGTGGCCGGATAACGGCTCGCTCACTGCAACCTCCACCTCCTGGGTTCAAGCAGTTCTCCCGCCTCAGCTTCCCAAGTAGCTGGGACTACAGGGGCGCACCACCACACTCGGCTAATTTTTTGTATTTTTTTTTTTTTTTTTTTTTAGTAGAGATGGGGTTTCATCATGTTGGCCAGGCTGGTCTCGATCTTCTGACCTCGTGATCCACCCACCTCGGCCTCCCAAAGTGCTGGACTTGCGTGTGCCACCGCGCCCGGCCATGGAAGCCCCTTTGTTATAGAGAAGGAAACAGGCTAGAGAAGTTTAGTTATTTGCTTGGTGCTACACAGCTAGAGACACTAGCTTGCCAATTTATACAGAACTAAGGATGATAGTCACAAACCTTGCAGCCATACCAGTTGTTTAAATATTAAAATACTTCCAGATTGATTGGTGTATCACTGTTATACAAATACTCCCTGTCCCTAACTGCCACTTTGGAGGCTTGCTGTGGTATTATATGTATAAATATATTGGTTTTCATCCACAGTTCCTGGCTCAACTCCCATAGCTTTTGTTACAGTCCCTTGTTATAATGTTGTGCGCCTTAGGCCTCAGGGGCAGGTCTCAAGAAACAGAATCTCTTTGACCTCCACCTGCCCTCCTCTTCCTGCCCCAGGGCAGGACTCTTCTCTTCCCCACCTTCCTGTGGGTCCTGAGAGCTTTTCTGAGAAGGCCATGCATAATGCGGCTGTCTTAAAGCCTCCTTAAAAACCCAAGAGGAGGGGTCAGGTGCTGTGGCTCACACCTGTAATCCTAGCACTTTGGGAGACCAAGGCAGGTGGATCATGAGCTGAACAGATGAGACCATCTGGCCAACATGGGTAAAACCCCGTCTCTACTAAAAACACAAAAATTCACTGTGGTGGCACACGCCTGTACTCCCAGCTAGTCGGGAGGCTGAGGCAAGAGAATCGCTTGAACCCAGCAAGTGGAGGTCGTAGTGAGCCGAGATCATGCCACTGCACTCCAGCCTGGCGACAGAATGAGACTCCGTCTCAGAAAAAAAAAAACCAAAACCCAAGAGGACTGGGTTTGGAGAGCTTCCTCGTAGCTGACCACATGGAGGTTCTTGTAGGATGGCACCCTAGGGACAGTGGGAAGCTCCCTGCCCCTTCTGTTATACCTTGCCCTACATGTCTCTTGATCTTTGTTCTTTGTAATACTCTCTAATAAGCAAGTATATCTAAGTAAGCATTTCCTTGAGTTCTCTGAGCAGCTCCAGCAAGTTTTTGTTTGTTGGTTTGTTTTTGTTTCTGTTTTGTAAGAGGGGTCATCCAGGCTTGAATGCAGTGGTATGGTCCCAGCTCATTGCAGCCTTGGTCTCCCAGGCTCAAGTGATCCTCCCACCTCACCCTCCCAAGTAACTGGGACTATAAACACATGCTACCACACCCAACTAATTTTTTATAAAATTTTTTTTTTTTTTTAAGAAACAGGGCTTGCCATGTTGCCCTGGCTGGTCTTGAACTCCTGAACTCGGGTGATCCTCCTGCCTCAGCCTCCCAAGGTGCTGGAATTACAGGCAGAAGTGACCTGGCCCGAGCTAACATTTTTATTTATTCATTTATTTTAAATGCCGGGTGTGGTGGCTCATGCCTGTAATCACAGCACTTTGGAAGCCGAAGCGGGCGGATCCCTTGAGCTCTAGGCAACGTGGTAAAATGTTGTCTCTACCAAAATTACAAAAATTAGCTGGGCTTGGGGACAGGTAACTGTAATCCCAGCTACTCGGGAGGCTGAGGCAGGAGGATCACTTGAGCTCAGGAGGTGGAGGATGCAGTGAGCTGAGATCATGCCGATCACACCACTGCACTCCAGCATGGGGGACAGAATGAGACTGTGTTTAAAAAAAAAAAAAAAAAGAGAGAAAGAAAAGAAACTCATGTTGTTGTTGTTGTTGTTGTTTGAGACAGGGCCCCACTCTGTCACCCAGGCTGGTGTGTGGCACAGTCTCGGCTGACTGCAACCTCCACTGCCCCTCCACCCCCAGCCGGGCTCACGCAGTCCTCCCACCTCAGCCTCCTGGAGTAGCTGGGTGGAGGACTGTACTACTCCTCCTGGAGTACACGTACGCACTACCCGGCCAGGTTATTTCTTTGTATTGTTAGTAGAAACCATATTGCCCGGGCTGGTCTCAAACTCCTGAGCTCAAGCGATACACTTACCTCAGCCTCCTAAAATGCTAGGACTACAGGTGTGAGCCACCAAGCCCAACTCCAGCTAATATTTTTAAACATTTTTCATAGAGACAGGGTCTCACTTTGTTGCCCAGGCTGGTCTTGAACTGGTTTCAGGCGATCCTACCTCAGGTGCTTGGATTACAGGTGTGAGCCACCACATTGGGTCTGTTCCAGCAAATTTTGAACCAAGAGGGTCATGGAACTCCAACTTGAAGCCAGTTGGTTAGATGTTCTAGAGGCCTGGACTCGTGACTGGGATCTGGGGTTGAGGGGCAGCATTGGGGACTGAGCCCTCAATCTGTGGCATCTGACACTCCAGGATAGCGTTGGAATTGAATTGGAGGGGACACCTAGCTGGTGTCTGCTGTGTAGTGTGGGGGGGAAAAGCCCCACACATTTGGTCACAGAATTCTTCTGTGTTGATGATTGTCGTGGTGGTAGTATGAGAGTAGAGGAAAAACACAGTTTTAGTTTTCCCAGAACAGTCCCTCAAACCCAGACCTCCCCATGGCCCAGCAGCTAAAGGATTAATGCCTGGCATCTGGCCCTGCTCCACTCTCAGTTCTGATTGGTGCCCACACCAGTTCCCACTGTTGAATATTTGGTGTGTCACCTCTCCCTATCCCACTGAGTAAGAGCCAGAAGGCAGCCTTGTTGCCCACATGGTAAAATTAAGACCTAAAGTGTGGGGCTGGGTGTGGTGGCTCATGCCTGTAATCCCAGCACTTTGGAAGGCTGAGGCTTGTGGATCACTTGAGGTGAGGAGTTCAAGACCAGCCTGGTCAACATGGTGAAACCCCGTCTCTACTAAAAATGCAAAATTAGCCAGGCGCCGGGGCATAAGCCTCTAGTTCCAGCTACTCAGGAAGCGGAGGTAGGAGAATTGCTTGAGCCTGGGAGGTAGATGTTGCAGTGAGCTGAGATCTGCCACCGTACTCCTGCCTGGGTGACAGAGCAGGACTCCATCTCAGAAAAAAAAAAAAAAAAAGACTTAGGGGCAGGGCTTGCAGTCAAGGCCCTGTAGACAGTCAGGGACAGAGCTGAGGTCCTCTGTGCCCCACCCCAGCAATGAGCACACAGTTGGGCTTGGGGTGGGGACAAGTGCTATGTAAAAATTTATTGAATCGTCACCAGCCTTTCTTTTCCCCCTATCCAGCATCCCTCTCTACCTGTCAACATCCTGTGTTAGAGAACTTGTGGCCAGAGGTGTGGTGTGGAGAGCTGGCCGGGGAGGGACGCTGCTCAGCTGCTGTTCTGCTCCTGTCTCCTGTCCCCTCCCCCGGCCATGACAGAGACCCGTGAGCCAGCTGAGACTGGGGGCTATGCCAGCTTGGAAGAAGATGATGAAGACCTTTCCCCAGGTAAGGTGACCTTAGAGGTGGTGCCGTTGGCTTGACTGTCATCCCGGCTTAGGATTTGGCCTCCACTGGGAAGTGTTGATGGGGAGTGGCAGCTTGTCTTGCTAGGGGTTCTATTCTGACTGGGACTCCTTGTCCTGCTAGGGGATCTCTTCCAGTCTGGACTTCCCGGGACTGTAGATTGACTGGGATCTCTCTCCTTGCTGGAGGTTCTAGATTGGCTATGATTTTCTTCTTTGCTAGGGGTTCTAGATCGGCTGTGAGCTTTCTCCTTGCTGTAGGCTCGTCTGTAACTACTCTTCTTATTGGGGCTTCTAGATTGGCTGCTCTCTCTCTCCTTGTGGGGGCTTCTAGATTGGCTGCAGTCTTTCTCCTTGTTGGGGCTTCCAGATTGGCTTTGATCTTTCTTCTTACTGTGGCTTCTATATCGGCAGCGATCTCTCTCCTTGCTGGGGCTTCTAGAATATCTGTGATCTCTCTCTTTGTTGGGGCTTCCAGATCGGCTGCACTCTCTCTCCTTGCTGGGGCTTCTAGAACGTCTGTGATCTCTCTCCTTGCTGGGGCTTCCAGATCGGCTGCTCTCTCTCTCCTTGCTGGGGCTTCTAGATTGTCTGTGCTCTCTTTCCTTGCTGGGGCTTCTAGATTGTCTGTGCTCTCTTTCCTTGCTGGGGCTTCCAGAACGGCTGTGATCTCTCTCCTTGCTGGGGCTTCTAGATTGTCTGCGCTCTCTCTCCTTGCTGGGGCTTCTAGAATGTCTGCGCTCTGTCTCCTTGCTGGGGCTTCTAGAACATCTGCACTCTCTCTCCTTGCTGGGGCTTCTAGATCGGCCACGCTCCCTCTCCTTGCTGGGGCTTCTAGATTGTCTGCGATCTCTCTCCTTGCTGGGGCTTCTAGACTGTCTGCGCTCTCTCTCCTTGCTGGGGCTTCTAGACTGTCTGCGCTCTCTCTCTCTGCTGGGGCTTCTAGATTGTCTGTGTTCTCTCTCTTTGCTGGGGCTTCTAGATTGTCTATGTTCTCTCTCCTTGCTGGGGCTTCCAGATTGGCCACACTCCCTCTCCTTGCTGGGGCTTCTAGATTGACCGCGCTCTCTCTCCTTGCTGGGGCTTCTAAATTGTCTGTTCTCTCTTTCCTTGCTGGGGCTTCCAGAACAGCTGAGATCTTTATCCTTGCTGAGACTTCTAGATTGGCTGCGGTATCTCTCCTTGTTGGGGCTTCCAGATTGACTGTGATCCTTCTTCTCGCTGGGACTTCTAGATTGGCTATGATCTCTCTGCTTGTTGGGACTTCCAGATTGACTGTGATCTCTGTCCTTACCGGGGCTGCTAGATCCTCTGCGGTCTCTCTCTTTGCTGGAGCTTCTATACGGGCTATGACTTCTTTCCTTGCTGGGGGTTCTAGACCAGTTGTGACTTCTTCCTCTTCTGGGGGTTCTAGACTGGTTTTGACTTTTCCCCTTGCTGTGGGTTCTAGACTGGCTATGTCCTCCCTTCTGGCTCAGAATTCCCTTCCGGGTGCGACTTCTTGCCCTGCTATGATTTCTCTTCCAACTGTGACTTCTCACCCTGCTGTAGGTCCTCTTCTGACTGCGACTTCTTGACCTTCTGGGGCTTCTAGATTGGCTGTGACTTCGGGGCCTGCAGAGGGTGCTGGCGTGGTTATCATTCTTGACCCTGCTGAACACTTTAGTCAGGCTGTAACTCTTTTCCCTGCTGCGGGTGATCATCTGACTATAGCTTTTCGCCTTCCTTGATGACGATGGACATGGGCTCTCACTCTTCTTCTTGGAGGCAATTCCAGTTGGGCTGTGACTCTTGGCTCTACTGGGAGTTACAGCCAGCTTGGAACTCCTCCCCCTATCTGAGCTTCCTGGTGGGCTGTAACTCTTCTCCTTGCTCATATTTCTCGGCTGGCTGTCACTCCTTTCCCTGTTGCTGGTTCTAGGCCGGCCGTAACTCTTCCCCTGCCTCTGTTTTTGCTGGGAAGTGGGAGTTCTCACCCTGCTGGCCATGCCTGGTCTGGCACCATGAGTTCTGGCAGGAGTGCTGGCCCTGCTGGGTGACCTCTTGGAGCTGCGGCTTCCCCTTCTGCCAGGTGTCCTACCCCGGCTATGTGTGCCCTTCCGTTGATGGCATCTCACGCCGCTGGCCTTGCTGGCTTTGTTGGTCCTGGTGTCCGTGCTCACCCTGCTGGGTGTTCTTGCCTTGCTGCGGACTTGGGACCTGCTGCTGGACCGGTTAGAAGGGACTCTCTTTGTACTGGTTGATTTGGTGGACTTGGAACTGCTTGGGCTCATGACCGATGTCGCTGGCTTGGTGGGCACTGAGGATCTGTTGGGCGTTGTTGATTTGGTGGTCTTCAGGGAGGCAGGAGGCGTGGGATCCGTGGTGGGTATGGAGGATCCCGTGCGTGCCGGGGGCATGCTGGGCTTTGAAGATTTCTTAGGTGAAGACATGGTGGACATGAAAGGGCTTGTGGTCCTGGAAGTCACGGTAGGCATGAAACACCTGGTAGCCATGGACGATGACCTGATTGCCTGTCACAGGCCAACTGTGTGATGTCACAGTGGGCATTGAATACCCTGGAGGGTGAGTGGTATGAAGTCAGAGGTGGGAGGAGAGAGGACAGGGATCCCAGCCTGAGGCTAGAGATACTTCCTCTGATTTGCAGCCATTCAGCAAATGTCTTTTGAGGCTGACTCATGCTCAGCATTGCGGGGGACACAGAGATGGGACAGACCTAGGTCCTGCCTTCAAGGAGCCCACAGTCAATGGGTGGGGACGGGGTGGCTGCCCAGGTGGTCACGGTGTGATAGAGAGCAATGCAGTGGCCGGGGAACCCATACGAGAGGGATACCGATGGCGTGGGGAGTCGGCGAGGCCTTCATAGAGGAAGTGACATGAGCTGGGTTTGAAAAGTTGCAGGAGTTTTGCCAGTAGAGAAGGAAAGGGTCAGGATGAGCATGGTGGCTCACACCTGTAATCCCAGCACTTTGGGAGGCGGAGGCAGGCAGATCACCTGAGGTCGGGAGTTCAAGACCAGCCTGGCCAACATGATAAAACCCTATCTCTACCAAAACTATAAAAATTAGCCAGATGTGGTGGTGCATGCTTGTAATCCCAGCTACTTGGGAGGCTGAGATGGAGGTTGCAGTGAGCCAAGATCACACCACTGCACACCAAGCCTGGGTGACAGCAAGACTCTGTCTCAAAAAAAAAAAAAAAAAAAAGAAAAAAGAAAGGGTCACCCAGGCAGGTGAGGAGCAGAGGCTAAGGCCTTGGAGGGAGATCAGGGTCTTAGGGCCACTGTCATCCGCTGACCCGCATGTCCTCTGCTGGGAACCCCAAGATCATACCTGCCCTTGAGGAGTTCCCAGTCTGATAAGGGAGATACCCTGGGGCCCAGCTGACTACAGTTAGCTTCTAGGACAGTGACAGGGGAAAGTAGAGGGAGACCTGGCTGGAGGCTGGGGCATCAGGGTGGTGGCTTCCTAGAGGACGGAGTTTGTGCTGGGTCTTGAAGGATGAGTAGGGGGTCACCAGGTGGACAGTGGAGAACAGCCCAGGCCAAGGCCTCAGGAAACGATTCTTAAATGGCAGGAATTAGTAGGAGAGAACTGCAGGGACGGATGTTCAGAAGAAGACAGTTATAATGCGTTCCGGGCTGGTGACGCTCGGGACCCAGCAGGAGGGTGGTAGAAAAAGTGACTAGCTGCCTGGAATGAGGAGGCCTGGGACGGCCTCACCAAAGAGGAAGGCCTCCCACTGGGTTCTAAAGGATGGTGGGAAAAACTAGGTCAGGACATTCCCACCAGAGGGAACAGTGTGTGTGAGGCCTCCGAAGAGGTTTGTCAAATTCCACCCAGAGATACCCATGCCACAAATAGGTCCTAAGTACTTTCTTTGCACAAAGCAAGTGTTCTAGATGCTGGGGCCACAGCAGTGAACCAAACCAAGTCCCTGCTTTCTGGGACAGGCAGTAAACAAACACACAAGTAAATGTTGTATGCAGTGAGTCAGAAGATGGAGAAAAATTGGCCGGGTGCGGTGGCTAACACCTGTAATCCCAGCAGTTTGAAAGGCTGAGATGGGTGGATCACATGAGGTCAGGAGTTTGAGACCAGCCTAACCAATGTGGTGAAACCCCATCTCTACTAGAAATACAGAAATTAGAGTCCGGGTGTGGAGGCTCACACCTGTAATCCCAGCACTTTGGGAGGCTGAGGCAAGCGGATCACAAGGTGAAGAGATCGAGACCATCCTGGCCAACATGGTGAAACCCTGTCTCGACTAAAAATACAAAAATTGGCTGGGTGTGGTGGTGTGTGCCTGTAATCCCAGCTACTTGGGAGGCTGAGGCAGGAGAATCGCTTGAACCCAGGAGGTGGAGGTTGCGGTGAGCTGAGATTGCTTCACTGCACTCTAGCCGGGGTGACAGGGCAAGACTCTACCTCAAAAAATAAAAAAAGAAAAGAAAGAAATATCAGTTGGACATGGTGGTGTACGCCTATAATCCCAGCTACTTGGGAGGCTAAGGCAAAACTGCCTGAACCCAGGAGGCAGAGTTTCCAGTGAGCTGAGATCATGCCACTGAACTCCAGCCTGGGTGACTGAGCGAGACTCCGTCTCAAAAGAAGATGAAGAACAATCAAGCACAGTAAGGGGCATAGGGAGTGCTGGGGAGTGGTTTCTGTGGCCAGGGTGTCACTGAGAAGGTGACACTTGAGCAGAGACATGGAGCGGAGAGTGACATCAGCAGAAAGGGCGGCAAAGGCCCTGAGGTAGGTGTGGGTCTGGGGTGTCAGGGAAGGTGAGAAGCCTTGTGGCCACTGTGATGACAGGAGCAAGGGCGGAGCACAGGCTGCAGTAGCAGGATCCTCTGGGCTCTGGGAGAAACTGAGGAATGGGGCTGGGATGGATACAAGGCAAGGCTTTTGGCAGGCTCCTGCCACAGAGGCCGAAGAATCTGGTACTTCCCTCACTGGTCACAGGACCCCGTCCCCAGCCATTACTCTGTGTGCGCGCCCCCATAACGGCAGCTGATGTCACCCTCTTCTGTACATCAACTTTAAATTTTTCCCCTTGCTTTCTTTTGGAGACAGAGTCTTGCTTTGTCGCCAGGCTGGAATGCAGTGGCTCGATCTCGGTTCACTGCAACCTCCACCACCCAGGTTCAAGCAATTCTCCTCTCAGCCTCCCGAGTAGCTGAGATTACAGGCGCCTGCCACCATGCCTGGCTAATTTTTGTGTTTTTAGTAGAGACAGGGTTTCACTACGTTGCCCAGGGTGGTCATGACTCCTGAGCTCAGGCGATCCGCCCGCCTCAGCCTCCTAAAGTGCTGGGATTACAGGCCCTTTTCTTTAAACCTAAACTTGTCCTAGGCATGTCCTTGTTAACTGTGAAACATAACAGTTACCTATAAATAAATATTTTAACTCACCTAACTCTCTTTCTATATATATATATATCTCCATGGCCACATATATAAAAGTACGTGTGTGTGTGTGTGTGTGTGTGTGCGCGCGCGCGTGCGTGCGTGTGTGTGTTTTAATTTGCAGAAATACCTTTTCAAATGTTTGTCTCCCTAAAATGATCTGGCAGCGTCTGCCATGGCCCAGGTTCAGCTTTTCTTGCCAGAGCTGTGTTAACCACAGGCGAGTCAGCTAGCCTCCCTGTGCCTCAGTTTCCACATTCATCAATTGTGGATAGTAACAGTACCACCCCCAAAGGGTTGTTGAGGGTTTAGTGAGTTAATGTATAAGAATCGGGCACCGACAATAGCAAGGATGCTTTTGTTATTGCCGGTTTTTCACTACTCCTGCTTTGTCCTTCCTAAATGCCCCCATCCCACTTCCTTATGGAAGTTTTTATTTCTTTTTCAATCAATACAAATTTTTTTTTCTTTTTATACCCCCTGCCCCAAGACGGAGTCTTGCTTTGTCACCCAGGCTGGAGTGCAATGGCGTGATCTCGGCTCACTGCAACCCCCACCTCCTGGGTTAAAGCAATTCTCCTGCCTCAGCCTCCCGAGTAGCTGGGGTTACAGACGCCTACCAACACACCCGGCTAATTTTCGTATTTTTATTAGAGACAAGGTTTCACCATGTTGGCCAGGCTGGTGTCAAACTCTTGACCTCGTGATCTGTCTTACCTCGGCCTCCCAAAGTGCTGGGATTATAGGCATGAGCCACCGTGCCCGGCCAAAAACTTTTTTAAGAGGTGAGGTCTCACTAAGTCATCCAGGCTGGAGTGCACTGGCACAATCATGGCTCAATGGAACCTCGAACTCCTGGGCTAAAGTGATTGTCTCGTCTCAGCCTCCCGAGAAGCTGGTACTACAGGAAGTGTGTCACCAGGCCTGGCTGATTTTTAAATTTTTTGTAGAGATGCAGTCTTGCTTTATTGCCCAGGCTGGTCTTAAACTCCTGGCCTCAAGCAATCTTCCCAACTTGGCCACCCAAAAGTGCTGGGATTACAGGCATGAGCCACTGTGCCCAGTCCTGTCCCGTGCAGTTCTTAACAAGACATTCATTTGCCTGACACAAAGATAAGGGAATCTACTGGGTGCCATCCTTGTTCTATGCCATCTGTGGGGGAAGGGAAGGGTGGTGCCCAAGCTACCCTTGCCATACTGTGGCAAGTCTGAATATAGGAGTTCAGGGAGAAGACAGCTGGGTCTAGCCCTCTTTCCTCTGATGCCACTGTTTCTTCCTATCTGTCCCCTCTAGGCCCTGAGCATTCCTCTGATTCAGAATATACTCTCTCGGAGCCGGACTCTGAAGAGGAAGAAGATGAGGAGGAGGAGGAAGAGGAGACCACTGACGATCCCGAATATGATCCTGGCTACAAGGTGAAGCAGCGCCTTGGCGGGGGCCGAGGTGGCCCATCCCGCCGGGCCCCCCGTGCAGCCCAGCCCCCGGGCCCCCCGGCCCAGCCCTGCCAGCTCTGTGGCCGCTCACCCCTTGGGGAGGCCCCACCGGGAACCCCACCTTGCCGGCTCTGCTGCCCTGCTGCAGCCCCCCAGGAAGCACCAGCCCCTGAAGGCAGGGCCCTTGGGGAGGAAGAGGAGGAACCACCTCGGGCTGGGGAGGGCCGACCTGCTGGGCGGGAGGAGGAGGAGGAAGAGGAGGAGGAGGGAACCTACCACTGTACGGAATGCGAGGATTCCTTCGATAACCTGGGGGAGCTGCACGGGCACTTCATGCTGCATGCCCGGGGTGAGGTGTAGGCAGAGCCCCCACGCAGGGAGCTTGGCAGAAGGGGTGGGGTGGGAGGAGGGGGCTGAGGAAATTGGGGTTGTGACAGTGGTCATGGGGGATGGGGTACTGCCGGTCTGTGTTGTCTTAGAAGTAGATGTGTGATGGCCAGAATAAAAGCCAAAATTCTGTGTGTGTTGGTTCGGTGTGTGTGTGTTGGTTCGGGGGGTGTGTGTGTGTGTGTGTGTGTGTGTTCATGTTCCCCCTAGGGCTCCTTCTCAGGGAACCTCGGGGTCTTTTGGGAAAGATAACATTTACTACGTGTTTATATTCGATGAGGTTTCCATGTATTTACCCACAGACCCCATAATGTAAAGGCTCTAACAATAGAATTTTGTTTCTCACTCACATAATAGTGCTGGGTGAGTCATTTGGGGACCCAGGCCATCCCTTAAGCCTGTTGTTTCCCCCATGGTCCAGACCGGGTGGCC